ATTGATTTGAAATTGAATATTGATGGAAAAAATTTTTTGGAATGAAACTTTACTGCAGGCATATGTATGAAAGTATCTTTCTACAAAACTACGTGAACTAAATGGAGTTGTCCTATGTAAGTTTGAGTATATTAAAAATACCCAAAAAATAATTTTTTCCTAAAATGTTTGTCGTTTCAATTTTTTTAACTTCCTTCCTTAACTTTACAATTTCTTCGCAGTCTTTAAAATTTGAGCTTATAGAGTAAAGGAGAGAATTCGCCTATGTTTTTTTTTTTTGCCGGGCTGCACACGAGCGCGCCCCAGGGTACCAACTAGCAAGAACTATCGTTTAGAAGTCCACCATCTCCCTACAAAAACATTTAGCTGCGCTTTACGTAAACCGAAATCACGTAATGCACTCTAAATTAACATTTGAAAATTCGAAAAACTGCGCGGTTACAGGGGATCAGGCTTTATCGCAACTAAATGTGTCTCCAAAAATAAGTTCGTTTTTCGAAACAAATAAGAACTGAAAGAAATTTATGCCTTTACTGATGAAGAGCAATTTACAGCTAGAAAGCTTCTACAAGGCAATAACAAATCCATTCCAGCAACTGCAGAATTAACAATGACGGAATTACAGAGAACACAAATCAATTGTCAATGACCTCCATTCATGACCTCAGTTACGTATTTGCGAAAGAAGGTAGCACGTTTTGAGTTAGATGTATCAAATTCTACACTCTAAACCATTGCTGTTTCAAAAACATTGTCTTAGGTTTTTTAAAAGAACAGCTTGGAATTAACGAAGGAAAGAAAAGTCACAGATGTTAATATAAGATATTCGCTAACCTGTTTCTCCCAAAGCTGTAGCGGATTACTGCCGACACTGTACAGAACAGATAAAAGTCCACTTTGGAACGTGTTGTGAAACATGCCTCTTGAGATAATGACAGATTTCTTCTCAAGTCTCAATGCATAGAAGATCTGTAGGTGGAAAACGCGGGTGCACCTGCAATGCGGCCTTATCAATAGTTCCCATAACAACCGTGACGGCATACGAAGAACGGATTTGCAATATCGCGTAAAATCAGAAAAGAGAGATAGGATCACGACAAGACGTATAGGCCACTTTCAGGAACCTGCAGGATTGAGTCCTGTGGTTGAATATTGCTGCTTTGGAATTTTCATGCAATATAAAACCTCAAAAA